TTTGTACGTCAGCCGTTTAGGATTTTGAATTTGATCCGTTGCGCAATCGGAAGCCAGTGGAGGATTGGCAGAGGGGGGGGTGGCGGAAACGGAGCGGTTTGGAAAGAGTGAATGAGTCTGGCAGCCGTATTCACGGATGGACTGAAGCGGGGAAAGCCCCAGCGGCGAGGCAGGCCAGTGAGGAGTGGAGTTGCAGTAGTGCGAGTCGTGATATGATGAGGGAGTGGATGAGCTGGTTGTTTAGTGTTTAGTGGTTTCTGGTAGTTAGGAACGTGCGGATTTTGGCGGATGTTGCGGAGGTGGAGTCTGCACGAGTTTGTTAAAAAGATTGGACTTGGGGCCTGGAAGGATAGGTTGGGTTGGGGGGAGTCCAAAATGACACCAAGTACTCTGGCCTGCGGGGCGGGTTTGATGGTGGCGTGTGTGGGACATGATGGAGAAGTCAATGGGGGGGGGGGTGTATTTCGGGGCTGGAAGGGAAGACAAGAAACTCGGGTTTTTGGAGAGGTTCAGTTTAAGGAAGTGGTGCGGGGCGACATCCAGTCTGATATGTCGCTCAGTAGGTGTGTGATCGGGCAGAGGGACCGAGGGGGTGAGGGGGGGGTTGATAGATAGATTTGTGTGTCGTCGGCATAGAGGTGGTAGATGAAGCGTGAGAGGTGTATGAGTTGGCCAAGGGAAGAGGTGTAGAGATGGAGATGAGAAGGGGCCCGAGGACAGAGCCTTGAGGGACCCCAACAGAGAGGGGTGGATGTGAGAGGGAGGTGGTGGCATTATAGGTAACGCTGAAAGAGCGTTGTGACAGGTAGGATGAGAGCCAGGAAGAGAGCAGAATCTTTGAGGCCGAGGGAGTGTAGGTTTTTTGAGGAGGAGGGGGTGGTCGACTGTGTCAAAGGCCGCAGAGAGGTCAAGGAGTAGGAGCACTGGATAGTGGCCATTAGCTTTGGCGGTTAGCAGGTCGTTGGAGAGTTTGAGTAAGGCAGTTTCGGTGGAGAGTAGGGGACGGAAGCCAGACTGTAGGGGATCGAGGAGGTTGTTGTCGTTGAGGTGAGGAGCATAGGCGGGCGTAGTAGACTAGGCGCTCGAGGAGTTTAGATGTAAATGGGAGCAGGGAGATGGGTCTGAGGTTGTTTGGGTCATTGGGGTCCAGGGAGGACTTTTAAGTATGGGGTGATGTGTGTGTGCATGCTTCAGAGGGGAAGGGAAAGTGCCGGAGGAGAGGGAGAGATTGAAGATGCGGGTGAGGGAGCGTAGGATGGAGGGGGAGGGAGGTTGTAGGAGTTGTGTGGGGATAGGGTCAAGGGGGCAGGTGGTGAGGCGGGCATCAGAGAGGATCTTGGAGACTTCTTCGATGGTAGTAAGGTCAAAGGTGCGGAGTGTTGGGGGAGCTTCAGTATGAGGAATGTAGGGTGGGGTGGGAGAGGAGGTCAGAGCAGTGGTGGGGCCGTGGGAGAGGGGTGTAGAGGGGGTAGCTGAGTGAGGGGGAAGGGGGTTGGAGGGAGTTTGAGCAGCGATGAAGTTCCTGTGGGTTATGTCGAGGGGGAGGGGGGATGAGGGGGTAGCTGTGTGAGAGGGGACGGGTTGAGAAGGCGTGTGAGTTGCGGCAATTTCCTTGCGAATTGTGTCAATCTTGTTTTTGAAGTGATTGGCAATCTCAAGGGCAGTGAGTGAGGTGCTGGGTGGAGGTGGGGGTGGCGAGAGTAGAGAGTTGAAGGTGGAGAAGAGTCGGCGAGGATTGGAGGAGAGGGCCTTGATGAGGGTCAGGAAGTAGGCTTGTTTGGCAGTATGGAGGGAGGAGGTGTAGGTGTGGAAGGCAGATTTGTATCGTGTGAAGGCTTGTTGGGATTTGGTTTTGCGCCATAGTCGCTCCAGGGCACGACTGTGTCGTTTGAGGGTTTTGGTGTGATCAGTCTGCCAGGGCTGGAGCGGTCGGGGTCTGATGTTGCGTGTGGTTAAAGGCGCTAGTGAGTCAAGGGCTGTTGACAGCGCATTGTTGTAGGCGGTCATAGCCAAGTCGGGGCAGGACAGGGGGAGGATGCGGTCATAGAGTTGATCAACTGCGGAGTGGAGGGAGGCAGGGTTAAGGTTGCGGAGGTTACGGCTGGTAGAAGTGTGACATTTGGAGGGGTAGGCGTTGGAGGATGAGGAGATAGAGAAAGTAATCAGGTTGTGGTCAGAGAGAGGGAAGGGGGTGTTAGTGAGGTTGTGGGGAGCGCAGCGGTTGGAGAAGACAAGATCAAGGATATTACCGTCGGAGTGGGTGGTGGATTGTATGCACTGTGCAAGTGCAAAGGAGGAGGTTAAGTGGAGGAGACGGGCTGTGTCCGGGTTGTCGAGGTTGACAGGGATGTTGAAATCCCCAAGGATGATAGTGGGTAGCTCAGAGGAGAGGAAGAAGGGTAGCCAGGAGGAGAAGTCTTCCAGGAAGCGGGGTATGGATCCAGGAGGCCGGTATATCACAGCAATCTTCAGGGGGGTTGGGGAGAATAGTCGGACGCAGTGGGCCTCGAAGGAGGAGAAGGATAGGGAGGGGGGGTTTGGGAGGACTCGGAAGGTGCTCAGCGGTGACAGGAGCAGGCCAACCCCACCACCTTTATGACCGTTGGGCCTGGGTGAGTGGATCCAGGTGAGACCGCCGTAGGAGAGTGCAGCAGGGGAGGTAGAGTCAGTGGGCTGGATCCAGGTTTCCGTAATCGCCAGGAGGTTGAGGGAGCGGGAAACAAAGAGGTCGTGGATGGCGGTAAGCTTGCTGCACACCGATCGGGCATTCAGGAGTGCACATGAAAACGGGGGGGAGATTTTAGGGAGCAGGGGGACAGATACTAAGTTGCGGGGGTTGCGGCAGGACGTGGAGGCGGGAGGGTTTTGTGCGGGTGAGGGAGGTGGTGGAGGGCCAGATTCGGGGAGATGTCCCCCGCGGTTATGAGGAGGAGAAGGGTGAGAAAGGTGGCATGGGAGCGGGATGTGCAGGAGCGTGGGAAACTACTAGTGGAGGTGTTCGGGTCAGTGGGAGAGTGGAGTAATAGGAGGAGGTGGTGGGTGCCCATAGAGGGGTGAGGGAAGCAGTGAGGGCACAATATACAAATGTTTGGGAGGAGCAGAGGGATATAGTGAATGGATTTTGGGAACAGAGGAGAGGAAAATGAGAAGGAGGAGTGGAAGAGGCATTTTGGGGAGGTGATGAAAGCAATAGTGGGGAGATGATAGCAATGAGGGGTAGATGTACAAGTTTTGGGGTGGAGCAGAGGGGTAAAGAAATGAGATTTGGGAACAGAGGATAGTAATATGAAGAGGAGAAGAGGGGTGCATTATATAAAAAATGTGCACGGAGTGGGACTCAGGTATGTAAGAGATGTTTCCCAGGGGTGTTTCCTTGCAGTCTGTCCAGCATGCAGTAGAGTTTCTTGCTGTTGTTGTGTCTTCCTGCTGCTTAAGTTGAAGTGCTGTGTTTAACTGCTCTGCACTCATTCAAAGCCGCACTCCATCATAAGCAGCACCCCCCATCAGAGACTGTGCCCCCCATCAGAGATCTCCCCCATGAGCTGAACTAAATTTATAGGGAGATGCTCAAATGAGCATTCAACTCCGCCCCAATTAGAAGCTGATAAGGCTCACATGAATAGTGGGGGATGTTTCTTAGGAACCAGGCCACAGTCATAAACCTGAGTGCGCCTAGAGGTGAGGACAAGTCAACAGATACACAGATATAATTACAACATTTGTTGAGAATTTAACAGGAGTCAATGCGTTTGTCTGGTTAAGAGTGGAGGTAGCAGATAAATGCAGTTACCTGTGAAAGTAGAGAAGGCATAATTAAAGTGCTGTGTTTAACTGCTCTGCACTCATTCAAAGCCGCACTCCATCATAAGCAGCACCCCCATCAGAGACTGTGCCCCCCATCAGATATATATGTGTGTGTGTGTATATATATATATATATATTTTTGAAATATGTAGAATATGGCTAAAATTGTAGCATTTTAAGTATATGGCAATATATTTGGGAAGAATATTTTTTTAATATATTTCAAATATATTTTTCTTCCATATGGGTAACACCTTGTGCAAGGACGTAATTACCACAAATAAAAATGCTGCCCGGAGCAGCACAAAACCGACATACACCAGTGACCTTGTGCACTCCTGCAATACCTAGGTGTCAGAGTTCACTGGTGATCTTGTCCAGCAGTGTCCCATAAAACAGATGGATGGCAAAGTCCTTAAAAGTGTATATTTTGTACCACACCACCATCTAGTGGACAAACAGCATCACTGTTTATTACATTGAACATGGCAGTACAACCAGTGTAATTATAGCAAGATGAGCAATAAGGACCTAAAAATCCACAAACAAAAATACACTGAAGTAGAACGCTGTCTTCTTGAACTATAAGGTATTTACATACAGGTGTACCTTGATTTATGAATGTAATTCTTTCTAAGGGACTTTACATACTGTGAACAATTCGTAAACTGAAACGTGGTTTCCCATAGGAATGCATTGAAAACCAATTAATCCGTTCCGGAGGTCAGAAAAAAGTCAAAAAAAGTTGTATGTGTTCAAAACTCTTTATAAGTGCACTTTAAAGGCATAAATACTGTGATTAAAAAATAATTTGTAAATGCATTGAAAACCAATTAATCCGTTCCAGAGGTCAGAAAAAAGTGAAAAAAAAAGTCTTATCTGTTCAAAAACTCTTTATAAAGTGCACTTTAACCACTAGCCTACAGGGCACTTATACCCCCTTCCTGCCCAGGCCAATTGCGCGGTCATGCAACACTGTACCCATATGAAATTTTTATAATTTTTTTGTGGCAGATAGAGCTTTATTTTGGTGGTATTTAATCATCTCTGGGTTTTTTATTTTTTCTTAAACAAACCAAAAACCACTGAAAATTTTGAAAAAAAAATGTTTTTTCTTAGTTTTTGTTATAAAATGTTGTAAATAAGTGAGTTTTCTCCTTCACTGATGTGCGCTAATAAAGCTGCAGGGATGGGCACTGATGGGCTGCACTGATGGACACTGATAGGTGGCACTGATGGGTACTGATGAAGAGGCACTGGTAGGTGGCACTGATGGGCACTGACAGGCATCACTGATGGGCTCTAAAAGGCAGCACTCATTAATGGCACTGATAGGCAGCACTGATAGGCAGCACTGACGGGCACTGATAGGCGGCACTGATGCACACTGATAGGCGGCACTGACTGGCACTGATAGGTGGCACTGATTGGCAGCACTGATAGGTGGCACTGACTGGCATTGATAGGTGACACTGACTGGCACTGAAGGGTGACACTGAAAGGCAGCTTAGATGGGCACTGATATCTGGCATTGATGTGGCACTGATGGGCATTGAAATGTGGCACTGATGGGCACTGGCAGGTGGCATGGATGACCACCGAGAGCTGGCACTGATGGACACTGACAGGTGCTGCTGGGGCACACTGTGTACATGTCCCCTCCGAGGCATGCCGATTACCGGCTCTCCTCTCCTCACGAGCTGTCAGCTCGTGAGTAGGGAAATGCCAATAACCGGCATTTCCCTGTTTACATGTGATCAGCTGTGATTGGACACAGCTGATCACATGACCGAGCCAACATCTTCGGCTCTTTCTGTGGATCGGTGATCCACTGTGTCCGAGGGACACAGCGCACCACAGATCGTCGCGCTGCGCACTCCGGGAGCCGCACATGCGCGGTTAGAATGGGAGGACGTCATATGATGTCCTCCCAGAATGAGAGAACCACCTTGGGCCCGTCATTACCTTATATGGTGGGCGGGAGGCGGTTAAAGGCATAAATAATGTACAGGGACATGATTAAAAAAAATTCATAAATGCATTGAAAACCAATTAATCTGTTCATATTGCAATAAAAATTCATAAACCAAGCCATTATTTTCTTTTACAAGGGATTTTATTATAGAAAAGACAACATCAGAGAAACAGTCATAAACAAGATCACTGGCCAACAAAAATAAGACATACAAGTTTTCTGGTGAATAGTACCATGAATGCACTGAAGTAGAAACAAGGATACAAGCGGAGTACACAAGCACAGTATATGAAAAGGTAATATAGACCATGTTGATTTGCAAAAATGGCAGGCAATTTGAACCCAATGAACTAGTAAACATAGAGCCAAGATTATCACAAAGTCCACAAACAGAGGGCAGGAGAAAAAAAAAACACAAAGCCTCACTGAGTGTACATTGGTACTCCATGCTCAGGACTCCAAAGGAAGTCCAACAGGTAGATACAATATTGCTGGTACGGTTCTTAGAGAAAGAAGTCACAATCAGCGCAAATATCATGAAAACTGGCAGAACAGAGAAGAGAAAAGGAGTAGAACGAAAAGACAAAAGACAAAGAAAGGTCTCCAGGGTATAGCAACGGGAAAAAAATCTTACATCGACAAAAGGGATTGGTCAAATCTAGACGGTTGGGCTATGTCAAGCCATGGGCGCCAGATCTGCAGAAACTTCATGTGAGTGTCTAACAGCCCGAGCCATTATTTTCAATGGCTTTTCATTCGTAAACTGAAAATTACGTTAACCGAGGTGTTCGTAAACCGAGGTACACCTGTACAGGGAGTGGGGAATAGAGACAGGCTGCTGAACATAAGGTCCTTGTGTGCCATGTGAAGGTTTTGAGGGAGGTAGTAAAGATTGTACCAAAATAATATTCTATAAAATATATAAAATATTAATGCGGCGCAAACATATTTGCCTTCCATTTTCATGGTTGGCGTTTTGAGCTTTTGAGTATATAGTTCTCCAAGGAATAGACCCCTTTCAAGACACAGAATGGATTCCTCCAATGATGGCTCAGACTCTCCAAGATAGTAATGACTCTTTCCGATACTCCCAACAAACATCAGATAGAAAATAAAAAATAGAGACCCGACATGGTGCAGTATCATTTAAAATCTTTTATTCTCTGCCCGAGCATACTACTTACAAGAAGTAAAGAAGAGATAAAGCCCAAAGATGAAAGTGTTTCAGTTAATCAGAGCGGGAAGACCGCCCAATGCTCTCACCACTGCCGGTCCTCGCTCTTGGACAATCCCACGTCACTTTCCAGTTCCGGAAAAAAAGGAGTGAATTATTTGGACTTTTCATGCGTTTATATATTTTTTGAAAATTAGTTGAGTTTAAGCGTCACATTAATATTTTATATATTTTATACAATATTATTTTTATATTTTCTGCATATAGTTTAATGTGGCAGCATGTTATGAGATATGTGTACATTTTTTTTATTTTTTTTAATTCATATTTATACATTCACAGAGCAGTTTGTCTTTTAGGGTTTATACATTAAAAGTTTTTTTTTTTTTTAGCAAAGATTGTACGCCCCTTGAGGGTTAGGGATTGATGTGAATGTACAATATATATCTAAAATCACTGCGTAAAATTGATGGCGCTATATAAGTACCTGTAATAAATAAATAAAGGAAGGGAAGGAAATGGAGGGGAACATGGAAGGGAAGGAAATGGAGGGGAACATGTGAGTCAAATTAAACATTGAATTATTAACAGGCAAAATACAGGAACTGCATTGTCCAACAGTTTGACATTTCCATCAACATTAACATATGGTATCCCTTGTAAGGGCACCTCAATGGTGCAGACATGTGGCCCAAACGTTCTAGAATTTAGTGGAAAGGAATGAATCTCTTTGCAGCGATTATTATGTAGGCTGTAACACTGTAGAGGGAATTTAGTAAAACTGGAGCAGCGAGAATCTAGAGCAGCTGTGCACAATAATCTGTACGCTTCTAACATCAGCTTGTTGAGTTAAGCTTTGAAAATGAAAGCTAGAAGCTAATTGGTTGCCATATACAGCTGCTCCAGATTTTGGCTGCTCTATTTTTGGTAAATTCCCCACTGGGTCTGTATTGTTTAGTACATAAAGGGGTCAGATGATAATGAATAGGCAGGGGGTCATTGGAAAGGTAGTCACCAGTTATATCACCTATAAACTGACATAATGGTGTTCATTTACTAAAACTGGAGAGTGCAAAATTGGGTGCATGGCAGCCAATCAGCTTCTAACTTCAGCTTGTTTATTTAAGCTGTGACCAAAAAAACTGGAAGCTGATTGGTTTCTTTGCAGAGCTGCACCCCAGGTTGCACTCTCCAATTTTAGTAAATCAACCCTACTGAGTCCCAGAAATGTTTGATTTTAGGGCAATCTCACTATTTGTGGTGGAACGTACCTTCTCCAGCAGGTATCGGGAATAGCTGTAGAAATATGATCTACTTTTTTTTTTTTTTATAACAAACATATAATACTTACCAGCTCTGTGCAATTATTTTGCACAAAGCAGCCCTGATCCTCCTCTTCTCAGGTCCCCCGCTGATGCTCTGGGCCCCCCCCCTCAAGTGTCCCCCTAACAAGCTGTTTGCTATGGGGGCACTTGTGTGTGCTCGCTCCCCGAGTCCCTCTCTCTATGTCTATAAGACACACCCTCCTCACTAGCTGTGCTTGACAGCAGTGGAAGTCAATGGCTCCTGCTGCTGTCTCTGAGCCAGTGAGGAGGCAGAGAGCTGAATCGGCCTCAGGTATATATACATAGAATGCATGAGGGTAAAAAACCTTCAGCCGTTATGACTACTAACTACTTAAAGAAGTAAAGGAAGATCCTCCTGCGCTAAAAATGGGGCCCTAACACTTAAGCTGCCGACACTAACCTCTTACCTTATGAGTGAAGTGACTAGATAAAACAGTGTAGCGCTAAATAAATATTATAATATATTATATTGTGAAAAAATATTGAAAAATATATATAAGGCCCCCCAGTGCATATAAGAGGTATAATATAAGTGCACACGTGAATTCCCTATGGGAATAAATAAGTGCAAATGTGACCAGTGTCCTATCTAACACTCGTGACTAACATACTGTACAAACAACACATTAAACCATGAATAAAACCAATATAATGATATATGAATCCACACAAATGAATAAAATGTCCAATAATAGTGCTCAAATATAGATGCTCATGCAGGTGATGGTAAGTGTTCACTCCGTGCGAACCCTTAGTGACCAAAATGCCCCCTCACCTCCTTACATCGACCCTACAGGGTCAGCTCGCTCTGAGTATTACACCGCTCTGAAAAGTACCAGGATACCTTCCAGGTCCACTTCACAGTAATAAGCGCTTCAATCCCTTCTTATATTGCACAGCCAACAATATTCTCTGTCAAAGTGGGAATATATGAAGATCTTTGGTCTTATTGAAGGATAGTTGTGCGCTGATCTGTGTATATAAAACTGTAGAGGAGATAGGACTACAGATAAAGAGGTACAACTTATGTAGAAGGATTTGCTTTATCTCTGTGTATCACCTGAGGCCAGTGACTTCAGTGAGTATATGTAAGGGTTTACAACCACAATTTGGACTTGGTATCATCTAAAAAAATATTTATAACACAACTTCTGTGTGCAGAGGCAAGGCACGAGACGTGTCAAATGTAGAATTTTCTGAGAGTCAATAAAATTTAGGGCCAAATCAAATTCCAAAGAAGTAAAGTTCCGCCTGCTGTTGCCCTTGCAGAACCAGTTTATCTGAAAGGAACAGCAGGCCTTTGTGAATAGGTTCTCCTACAATGAAGTATTCAAAAGGGGTCAGGGAGTTGTACAGTCTAATATTTTGCATAGTGCAGATAAAAAGTGGCCTACTTGTGTATATCACCATTCATCTAATGGGAACCTTTCATTGTGATCCCCCTACAGGGAGGTACGTATATAAGGGAACAACACCTTGTGACAATAAATACTGCAAACTGTGTAGCCATATTAATCCATTACAAAGTATCACACAAAAGGAAACTTCAGTATTAAAGGAGCATTCAAATAGCTGATATCCAGTAGTGTGGTTCCTCATTCAATGTAACATGTGCATCTAGGGATGTAATATTGGTGAAAAACAATACAAACATCAATAAAAGAACATAAGGGGGAATGATAAACTGCACACCCATGGGACATCGTTTCTCATACTCAAACCATTACATGCAACACATGAAAGTTCTTATTAAAGCGATACCAAAGGTAATTTATTTTTTGGTAAAAAAACAAACATGTTATCCTTACCCGCTCTGTGCAGTGTGTTTTGCACAGAGCAGCCTGGATCCTCCTCTTCTTGGGTCCCCTTCTGATGCTCCTCCTTTCTGTTGGGTGCCCCCATAGCAAGCAGTTTCCTATGGGGGCATCCGAGCAGGCATGTTCATGAGAAGCTGCTCTGTGTGTCCATTCACACATGGAGCTGTGGATTGCCCCCCCTCCCCTTCTCCTCATTGGCTGACTAACTGTGATTGACAGCAGTTGGAGCCAATGGCTCCTGCTTGCTGTCTCAGCCAATGAAGAGGCAGAGACCCGGGACAGTGGAGACTGTCGTGCACATCGCTGGATTGTGATGGG